CCCCCCAATAATGTTAATAAGATAATAGACACTCTGATATGGCGTGGAAACATTCTCCCCTTTTCAACCGAGTGTATCCCATAATTGAATATGTTTGGCTGACACGCAAGGCAAGACACCGGATGTCTTTTCAGGCTCAAAAAAACTTTGGGATCTTTTCTTTTTAACCGACTCTTGGTTCGTTCCTTTTAACAGACCCTTGGTTCGTTCCCTTTTAACAGACCATTGGTTCGTTCCTTTTAACAGACCATTGGTTCGTCCCATTTAACAAAATGCAAACATGAGCAGCGGTGGGCTGTGCTGAAGACATGGTCTAATGAGTACCCCGAGCAACTATAACCCAGAGCCCATATGGGGAACGATTCTCTATAGATCTAATACAAACCGATCGCCTGACTCGCGGTCTTGAAAACAACTTTAATCGACACGGACCGTCGGTGTGTCGGCTTCCTTCGGTTTGTGCCACGATGGTCGCTTTTCGCCCTCAATCTGGCTAGCCCCGCCCAACAAACCGAACGGCTCGTACCAATGAGGGCACTGGGTACACGGCACGAGGAAGGTGTGGTCTGCTCCTTTTTTCTCGTGTAACACCTCTAATCTTCGGCACTTTTATGACCTTATTGGGTTGCAAGTGCCGTAAAACTCTTACTAAAACTGAATTATACGTGCATTTGCCACATTGTTGGCCGTTTGAGTTACTACGACCATGCGGTCAGAAACCAAAAGCTCTACCTGCTCTAGCAAAATCGTAAGATTACGCGGAGTCGTTATCAAGGTATTCAAAGAATTGCATTTGAGGAAGCTTGACATATTGTGAAAATAAAAATTATGATGTCCAATTTATCCAAACGAGGTACCAAGCAGACAGAACTAAGTAATTCTGGGGTAGCCACACAGAGCATGACCAATTGCCACTACAGCGAAGGAAACTCTACCGGAGCGCAGAAAGAAAATCTGAGTTTCAGTTTTACAAAGTGTTTTACGGCACTTGCAACACAATAAGGTCATACAAGTGCTGAAGATTAGACGGCTACTTTTCTACTCGGCAATGGTTGTCGTCATTGACAATGTCACAAATTCTGGTCGCTTTTAAGCACAAAGGGGCAATCCCGATAAACGCTGTTTGGAGAAAATCGAAGGTAAAGTTTTTGCCCCTTGTTCAATTTCTTTAAAAAGACAAGTAGAGTTTTCTCTATAACCAAACAAATTTACACACCAATGAAACCAAACTTCTCCTCTTGATTGGGCAATGCCCACTTTTGGTGTAGGTCAAGATTTCTGGAAACCCCCGAAATCTGTGTTAGCCCGCTTGTCCTTAAAAGCGACCAATTTTCAGTGTACCTGAATTGACAGTGCTTGGCAGAGACGCAATACATGACCTTGATACAGAAAGACGTTTCTCTCGTTTCTGAATAATCTACGAGTTCATTCCTGTTTTATTTTTAATCTTTAACCAGAAATGGCTTCTTTTCACTCCTTAATACATACTTCACCCTTTATTTCAACATGTAATATAATGTGCCTATAGTGCAATATTGATTACTTTACGGGCATTTCGACTGCATCGACTTATGACTTCGCCGTCCGGAAGGTTATAAGAAAATCAAAGATCAAAGGGAAGTCGAGCAATAAACTCGTCCGTATAGGGTACCCCCGGACTGCAATTAAAGATTACAGCAGGAAACGAACGAAAAGAACTTTACCGTTACACCATGAACGTCAAAGAATATTATGGAATATCTCTCTCTCTCTCTCTCTCTCTCTCTCTCTCTCTCTCTCTCTCTCTCTCT